ACCGTAGCTTAATGAGGGGGGAAAACAGTGACGCAACCCTCAACTCAGATGTCACAAAGCTCTAAGAAGCACTTGAATGGCCACAGCAGGACTTATTTTAACACGGCTGGCATGATCAGAGACAGACATACTGACACCATGACTGAAGAATCTTACCAAGAGATGTGATTCCACTGTGAAACACGATCCCCAATACAGAGAGTTTAAAGAGTAAAATTGTTTTCTCTGATGCTGCTTTCCTGGACATTATATGAAAAGGGTCGTAATAAAACAATCCCTAAATTAAAATGTATTTCATTGTCATGAAATGCCAAATAAATTTAATAAATGAAAATAAATGTAGAATTTATTTTATATGAATAAATTTTCATGTATTATACAGAAATTAATATATATATTTCTGTATAATTTACGTCATTTACAAATATTACATTATTTATCAATGATTTGATATATATATTTTATTTATGTGTGTGTGTGTGTATATATATATACTTCATTTACTGTGTATATATATATATATATATATATGAAGAGTCCATTTGCAAAAATAACAATTTTCAAAAATCATGTTTTTTCATTGTGCATTTCAGTTAATCTCAATCAAACTGCGGTTGGGTTATTTTGATTAGGTTAAAAAATAACTAAAAGATACAGCTAACAACTCAGATGTCACAAAGCTCTAAGAAGCACTTGAATGGCCACAGCAGGACTTATTTTAACACGGCTGGCATGATCAGAGACAGACATACTGACACCATGACTGAAGAATCTTACCAAGAGATGTGATTCCACTGTGAAACACGATCCCCAATACAGAGAGTTTAAAGAGTAAAATTGTTTTCTCTGATGCTGCTTTCCTGGACATTATATGAAAAGGGTCGTAATAAAACAATCCCTAAATTAAAATGTATTTCATTGTCATGAAATGCCAAATAAATTTAATAAATGAAAATAAATGTAGAATTTATTTTATATGAATAAATTTTCATGTATTATACAGAAATTAATATATATATTTCTGTATAATTTACGTCATTTACAAATATTACATTATTTATCAATGATTTGATATATATATTTTATTTATGTGTGTGTGTGTGTATATATATATACTTCATTTACTGTGTATATATATATATATATATATATGAAGAGTCCATTTGCAAAAATAACAATTTTCAAAAATCATGTTTTTTCATTGTGCATTTCAGTTAATCTCAATCAAACTGCGGTTGGGTTATTTTGATTAGGTTAAAAAATAACTAAAAGATACAGCTAACTAACAATAAAAACATGATAACATAATAAAAAAAACATGATTTTTGAGTTATCTGTTCTTGCAAATGAACTCTTCATATATATATTTTTTTTATATATATAATTTTACATTTATTTTTAATATAAAGTCATACCCTAAACACACCCCTCAATTAGAGCTGGTATTTGTATAAGTATCCAATGGTTCATGTCACTCAAATATTGACAATTTATCTAGACAGGTTTAGGTCTTATTTTATGAGTCTTCAGATTTACGTTGTAGTTGTGGGTGTTTGAAATGCAGCAGAGAAGAGGAAACACAACTCTCATATATATATATATATATATATATATATATATATATATATGAACATAAAACAATTTACTACATAAATTTGGATTTTTTTATTTACTTTATATTTATTTTTTGTAATTTCCAATATTCTCAATGTTGATCCCCATTCGGTTTTCATTAGCAAATTACTGTAATACATTTTCAATTTAATTTTAATAAATCAACTAATACATTTAAATTAACATAAAATACTACTATGATGTATAAATACATGTAAAATTATGTAAAAATATTTTTTAAAGGGGTCATATGATGCGATTTCAAGTTTTCCTTTCTCTTTGGAGTGTTACAAGCTGATTGTGCATAGATAAGATCCCTGAAGTTGCAAAGACTAAAGTCTCAAAATCAAAGAGATATTCTTTATCAAAGTTAAGACTCTGCCACGCCCCCCTAAAACGGCTCGTTCTAACACGCCCCCACATATCTACCTCACTATGTGGAAATATTTGCATAATGCCGCCCAAATGTGCACGCAAAAAAAGAAGGCGTGGTTTCAGTCACCGCACACAGTTAGTGTTGAAGCAGCCATGTCAGGGAGACGCTGTGTGTTTCTAGGCAAAAGCAAAAGCACTTTATTTGGCCTTCTGAAAGTAGATGCATTTAGGAATCTTTAAGATTACTTACAACAGAACAGCAATGCATTTTATGGACGACCGTTTCATGAACCTAGGAGAAGAGGTAATTCTGACTTTGCTATGACAATCTGGCGCCTCTGAATCAGATACTGTTTTGTTATTAGTTTAAATATTTGCTATTGACTGTTCAATTAAACAGTTAAAGCATGTCAACATATTCTGTTACACCAAATACACAAAATAATGATCTTTAAAAAAGCATCATATGACCCCTTTAAATAAATAATGTTTTATATAAATAACTAAATATTTATTTATACTACATATACTATATATAAACAATATATATATATATATATATATATATATATATATATATATAGTATAAATATACTACAAATATATAAATAACTAAATATATAAGTTTTACAAAAGCAAGTTTTATATTTATATTAATATTAAGTGCCATTTGAAATTTTCTTCTAAAAATAGCATTTTTATCAGGCTCCTATGTGTAGGTTCAGTAATTTCACTTTAATGACAATGAAGAGGTTCTTTTCACTGCCATTAAAGTGAAATACCTGAACATAAAATATAAATGTATAAATCAAATATAAATATAACTTATCAAATAAATGTTACAAATAAGTATACTTTTTTTTTTGGCCTTACAGTAATGAGAATGAGTTTCTATGATTCTGCAACAGGTGTAGAGCAGGGAAAGTGCCAGTCAAACACCCAGAAAAAAAAGAGCAAGGAAAAGGAGGTGAAGCCAGCACCAAACCCGAGCAAATTTGAACTCTTCACCTTTGATATTACAGTTAGACCAACAATAATGCTAATAAGGTAAGTTAAACACCATGAAATTGGTGAAATTGTATAAGCTTTAGTTGGGTTCTGTTTTCAAGGGTTGAACACGTCTTGTTTTTCAAATGGATCTGACCACTGCAGGAGCAAGCAGCATCACTTACAGAAGTCACGCTCCCTCAGGGGAAGAGGTGGGGCCTTCAGCAGCCAGTATATGTTAGCGGACTGTTAAAAGCGATCACCACGCTGTGATCTCTAAGCACACAGTAATATGAGACAAACCAAGTGGGCATCTGGTTCTGGTTAGTGCTTTGGAAATCTGATTAAAGGAAAATTTCCAGGCACATTGAAAAGTATTCACCGTAATTACTGAGAACAGCTTAGACAGATCAGACCACAAAGAACTAAACATGAAACCAATGTTGTGGTTCGCTCCTCTATTAAATATAAGACACAATAATAGCTAGGGAGGGAGGTGGGTCTCAAGTGAACAAATTGATGAGGATGGTGGGGGTTTAGGTTGTATTTGGGGAGGGACAGGGTTCATGGGGTTATTACATTCCTTTCCTGTGCAAAATCTTCAGACTTCAGTGGAATAAAACTTTAACGCAGTGCCAAAAAGTTCTTCTCAGTGTCATGAGCTTTAATAAACTATGGTTACAACATGAACAGCCAAGCCAAGAAACTGAATGAAACCACAATGACCACAGTCAGTTCACCGTAGAACAGAAAAAGAAAAAGAAAAACGGTCTGTGCAAGCGTGACGCTCAGCCAAACCTCATTGTAGACAATAAATCGTATTAGCACAAATAGAAATATTGATGGATGACTGTGTTGAGGTCAGTTTTTAACAACAAATCTTTTTTTTTTTTGGTTGAGTGCTGAAATCAAAACCATATGCTGAGTGTTTGTGCAGTCTGTGTATTGGGGTTTATTGTCAGGCCTCTTCATGGGGGAAATTTATTTTTTTGCCAAGACCAAGGGATAGATTTCATGAAGTACATAAACAGTGTCTTCCACTTTACCGATGTCGATTCTTCTGCCTAATTAATACAAAACACCAGTAATATGAGTTTTTAGGACATCAGAGATGACTACTCACCACCCTACACTCATTTTCACAGCTAAATATTTACCCTAGAGAACACAAATCCCCTACCATTTTCCATCAAAAACAACCGTGTAGTACAGAACACAAGAGGGCAGTCTGATCCCTTCACTATAAAGTACACGGCTTTGTACACAGTCTGATGAAACGGACTGTAATTAGAGAGCTGTGACTCACAGGAACTGGATCAGAAGGGTCTCAAGGCAAATCATCCTGAGCGTTTTTTATGAAACGAGTAATTTTGATGAAAGAAAGATGAAAGATTAAAGAAAGACATAGATTTGGAAAGACACGAATAAATGATGTTCATTGTTGGGTGAGCTATACCTTTAAGGTGAAGTTGTTCATTTCTATATCAAGAGGGGCAACAACCCAGCATATTTTTACACTTTATTATACCTCTTCAAACAACAGACATCATTTCACCAAAAAAAAAATATCTATTTCAATATTTTATAGTTTATTTGTTGATTAAATTAGTTACAAAGATGGTTAACTTGCACAAGACATTTCATAATATAAGGGGAACATAAAACCTAAATGACACCAAATTAGATTTGTTTTCTGTTAAAGAATTAATTACTGATATATAACTTTTGAACTTTGAACTGAAAAAAAATGTATCACAGTTTCCACAAAAATATTAAGCAGCACATGTTCTTAACATTGATAATAAGAAATATTTCTTGAGAACCAAATTTGCATTTTAGAATGATTTCTGAAGGATTACATGACACTGAATACTGGAGTAATGGCTACTCAAAATTCAGCACTTGCATTACAGAAAAATAAAAATGAAAATATATTTAAATATAAAATAATTATTTTAAATTTAAATATAATTTCACTATATTGCTGTTTCTACTGTATTTTTTATCAAATAAAGGCAGCCTTGGTGAGAATGACTTCTTTCAAAGACAATTAAAAAATCTTATAAGACCACATGCCTTTTAGCAGTAGCGTATACACACACAAACACACACACACATTCAGCAACAGCAGCACACTGAATGCTCAACACACACACTCCTCTCTCATTTTGGCAATCTGAAGCAGAGCCACTCTGGCCTCTTCATCCATGTAACCCTGAAAAAACAACAGCATATGAAACATAAATGCTACCATCTTCATGGGTCTACTTTTGAAAGCACATTAGATAATAAGACAATATCATACAAAAATAAAATGCTACCTGTGCTGCACTGAGCAATCGTGTTCGGTAAATTGAAAGCACATGTCTGTAATGTTTTTCACAGTCCTGGCAATAAACAAAAAAGAAAAGAAAACAATGAATTCATAATACATTGGATCTCCCATCAGAAAAAAAAACAAAAACAATAATGCATAAACCTACATCTCATTTAGAAATGGACAATACAGGTCATCATAAAGTGCTCTGGTTTGTTGGATTACGGTAAACGCATTGGGGAAAAATGAGAGTTATTTTGATGAAAGTTAATGCAGAGTTCACACTGCACGATTTTAGCCCGATTTTTCACTCGCCGACAGGTTTTGCGAAATCGCCGACAAATGCCCGAAATCGGAGGCAAATCGGTACTCGTTCACACGAGTGACAATCACGCAGTGTGAAATATCAAAGACGCGATCTGAGAGAATCGCCGACGCCCTGAAATATTTGGCATGCTAAATATCTGGAGCTGTCAGCGATTCACAATCACACTGTGTGCAATGATTTCTGACTGAAAACTACATCAGCGATGACCTACAGCCAATGAGAGACCAAGATACAGGGCAGAGGGAAGTTCGGGGAGGAGTTATAGACCAGAATATCAGTATTTTAATAGATATATGAACAATTATATCATACAGAAACAAGCACAAACATTTGCTTGACCAGCCACAACATCAGCATAACAGTTACTGCAAAATTATTTACCTCCAACTCTCTTTGCAGAACACCCAATCCCTGTTCCCTGCATCTCCCTCCTGCATAATCTGTTTTTTGTTTTCTCCTTGTAGCTGGAAATCAGCTCACAGACAATTTGCGGGTTATATAGGCCTATATATTTTATAATTCCAGTCTCGCTCGAGAACTCTGGTCTGACACACGCGGGTTCTCGCGTTATTTCCTTATCACTTCTCGCGTGTGTTTTGTTGGGAAATGTAGTTTGCGGACCAGACAGAGTTGTCGGCGATTCTTCCTATTGTAAAGTCATGCAGTGTGTAACCTCCTGTCGCCGATCCATCGTGCAATGTGAACACAGCAGCGACTGACTGCTACCCCAGATAGTCGTGCAGTGTGAAAACCACGGTGACCCGACGCCTTTGAAAATCGTGCAGTGTGAACTCGGCATAAGATGTCTCTGGAGAGTGATTCACGTGTAATGCTGTTTTTGATCACAGTCACAGCAGATTTCTTCTAATACCACAGGACAATTTCACGTCACTCCGTGGGATTGTAAAAATGGCTTTTAAGTCAAGTCTGCCAATGTGAAGACCTTTCCAGCCACCCATCTCATGGATGTTTCATGTCCACTGATGCCCTTGTTGCTAAGAAACATGCTACTGTAACATATTGCCAGCATATTTCCATCCCCATGGAGCTGAACAAAATATGTCTGTCTGTGCAACAGCACAAAAACTCTACTAGCAAACTGAATTTAAATTTGGTGAATATGGATATGCTGTGCTCTCTTCTTCACAAAGACAGCACAAGAAACAGAATATTCCATGAATCAAAACAAAACATAATCTAATAATAATTTGATCAAAATCTGTTCTTAGTATTACAAATAAATTTGTACTCCAGATCATTTTTATTAGTATTTTTGACAATATGTTGTAACTGCTGGACTGTATCATGTGTTTTTATTGTATTGGGTTTCTTAATGTATTACATTTTGTTTTATGATGTTGTATTTGTGTGCAGAAGTATTTTTGTAGCCCAAGTTTGAATTTCTTCATGAATATTATTCAAGCTGTGAATTTAAATACATAGTTCAACCAAAAATGAAAATTCTGTCATAAAAAAAATACAGTGGAAGACAATGAGAACCAAAACTGTTTGGTTACAAACATTCTTCAAAATATCCTCTTTTCTGTTGAAATGGCATGAGGATGAGTAAACAATGACAGATCTTTCATTGGGTGGACTATCTTTTTAAGTTTTGTAAAATTAATATACTAAAGAATCTTATAAATTACTCATTTTGAGCCAAGCTGCACTAAAAGCACTGAGGTCTCTTGTCCAAGAAAGCATCAACAAAACAAAACCTCAAAGAAATGGCCCTAGAGGATAGAGCAATCAGTAACTAACCTCTAGCTGCTGTTGCAGGCTGTGGACCTGAGCCTGGAGGGAGCTGTCAGGCTGTGATGGTCCACAGGAGCTGATGGGTTCTGATATGTTGACCTGAGCCAACCTCTGTCCCTCACGCTCCACTGATGACTGAGACAGAGAACATATGTAATTAAATTTACTGAAGAAAAACAATGTCCCCTGTGCAAAACCCTAAGGTGATCAGAGTGTTCTGGATGGTTGGATCTGCAGGAAAACTGAATATAACTAATATACAAGCAATAATCACCTTTTCAACTTGATCTTGCGATGTGCTCCCCTGGTCTTCAGTTGTGCTACTTTTGCTTTCTATTTCAGTTGGCTGCGCATTTTTCACTTCACTTCTAGTGACTTCACATTTTGTTCTGTCACTCCCTGTAGAAGAAGATACTTGGTTATGCTGTACTTCACTTGTGCATGGCTGCCTGTGTTCTTCTGTCTGAACACCCTCATCCTTTATGTTTGAGATGTTCACACGTGCCTGGTTTTGTTGCTTCTCCATCTCTTCAAGGGCCAGTTTGAGTCGCTCCCCCTCTTTCTCTTTTTCCTTCACTAAGGCAACAGGAACAAACTTGGTCTGCAGAGCATCCTGTATGGTGTCCAGCTCAGTCTTTTGTTCATGAAGTTCTCTCAGCAGGCTCTGGTTCTCCTCCTGGACACTCTGGTACTTCTGTAGAGTCTCGTCAGCTTTGGTTTCAGCCTGTTGCAGTGCATCTTTCAGTGAGCTAGTTATGACTGTGTGCTCATTCTTGCTAATGTAGTTCTCCAGATCTATAGTTGGTTTAGGGGTTTCTGTGGTGAAGTCAGTCATGGTGCTCTTCTCATGAGTGGGGCACCATTCTGATGGGGTTTGAGCTTCTTTACACAACATCTCAGCTTGCTGTGTCTCCACTTCCACTAACCGGGTCCTCAGTGTGTTTATTTGCTCTTCTCTGCTGAGAAGCTCATGGGAAATCCGACTAAGTTCCTGCATTAAGGAGCTCTGGTTCTCCTTCTGCTGCTCCACCTCCCTCCTGCTCTGGCTGAGCTCCTTCTGCATCCTCCCTAGTTTGGCTACGGCTGCCTCCCGCTGACCTTTGACCTCTTGGAGCTGGACTCTCAGCTCTTCCACCAAGTGCTCCCTGACAGCCACTAGATGAGCTTGCATCTGTCTCACTCGGGTTTCCGAGCCGGCCATCCTCCTCTGCACCTCACCGAGGGCCTCCTCCAGCTCCCACGACCGGTTATGGGCTGCATGCAGAGCTTGCTCGCTGCTTCTCCTCAGTCCTTCATACTCCTGAGCACGCAGAGCCAGTGCCGTGTCCAGCCTGTGCACCTCCGCCTCTGCTGCTTCTTGCCTTCTTCTTGAATCTCTTAGTTCTCTCTTAAGGGCCTCCACTTCACCAGGCAATAACTCCATTGGAGCAGATTTCACTGGCACAGGAGCTGACTGTGTGGGCCTGACCTGAACAATTCACATAGGTAATGATGAAGTACGAAATACTTTGTTTGTGTGTTTTAATTCAACTGCAGTAATTGTTTTATTTTGATGGCTCATGTCAAGTGAGGATATGACCTTTTAATCTCTCATTCACCCTATTGTATTGTTCCAAACTTGTATAAGTTTCTTCCTTATGTTGAACATAAAAGAAGATATTTTGAAGAATCAAACAGTTGTTGGTCCTCCCTATTGACTTCCGCAGTAGAGAAGGAAATACAATGGAAGTCAACTTTTGGAAGCAACTGTTTGATTACCAGCATTCTTCAAAATATCTTCTTTTATCCTCAACATAAAAAAGTAACTCACGCAGGTTTGGAACGACATGAGGGTGAGTAAATGATGACCATTTTTATTTTTGTGTGAACTATCCTTTTAATGTAAAATATAGTTTAATTGCCTAATAAAAGGACAACCTGTGCAAGATATCAAGGTCATACTAAATCTACATATTAATGCCACTGACACTGAAGGAATAGTTCATCAAAAGCGAATGTAAATTTAGAAAAATTTAGCATTACATCACTTGATCACCAATGGATCCTCTTGCAGTGAATGGGAGCCACCAGAATAATCCACACATCTCCAGTCCATCAGTAAACATGAAGTGAAAAGCTGCATGTTTGTAATAAAAAAAAATCTAAAAAAGACAAACTGCACCCATTCACTGCAGAGGACCTACTGGTGAGCAAGTGATATTATGCTAATTTCTTCAAATCTTTTCAGATGAAGAAACAAACTCATCTACATCTTGGATGGCCTGAGGGAGAGTACATTTTCATCATATTTTCATTTTTGGGTGAACACAGCAGACACAGATCAAGTCAGGTTAGACAGGGTACCTGTGTAGAATCCAGATTCTGACTTTGTTTGGCACCTTTTCCTTCAGGGAACAGAAAACATGTTTAAAACTTAAGAGCCCAGGCCTGAAAAGCTTTTGTGATACGACTGATTGCAATCCTGATGTTCTGCCATGATAAAAAATAAAATGAAAACATGTTCCAAGTTACCTTCAGCAGAGTGACTGCCATGTTCCCTCTGTAATTCAGACACAACCCTTTACTGATGACATTCACAACTGATCACAGGACCACAATCAGCTACAGGAGAGGAAAATTACTGCCTCATAGCCTTAATTTAAATGTCACCCCATAAAGAAACTCACTGTTAGTGGCTCTGACAAAGGTTTCTCAGTCTTTACCGATCCTGCTTTGGTCCGGCCAATCCCTGCTGATGGGGATTTAGCCTGCATTTGGAAAGAAAAACACTATAATAATCAAAAACATCATCTATAAATTTTAAATTCAACATCATAAAATCTTTTTTCCCAACAGTATGTGTATATCATGTACTGTATATGTGTTAGTAGTAAGAAACTATCATTTTACATATGTATGAATTATTCACATGAGCATGAGAATCAGTATTCCTCTCCATCGACAGATGCAGAAGAACATAACATTTCATCAAATTGATTTCCATCATTGCAGAGACGGAGACAGCAGCATCAATCATTATCAAGTCGCTGGGTATTAGGATGGCTCTAATTAAAGCGCACTGCGATTAGCGTTTAAGACTCTAGATCGCAGTAAGATCAATAAACAGATGAAGTTAGTTCGAGTGCAGCAAACCAATGACCTTTTCGGCTGCTGTTAACTGCCTCTCCTGTCTTGGATTATAAATACTTGAACTTGACTGCGAATATGCATGCAAATGCGTTAAACCGTTAAACTGTCAGCTAAATGTCAATGTTACCTGTTGGATCTTCTGTGAAACAGTGGCAGTTTCTTTAGCTGAAAACAAAATTGGGAGAAATGTTTTTGTACATGATGTTTCTGTTTGTAATGCACAACGTTTCAGATAAGCATTTATTGCATTGTTGCAAGTTTAAAGGGTATAATAAGCATCTTTCAGGGACCCTAGAGACCATCTAACAATAAGCAGCTGATTTGCTTGGAATAAGCCTTTCTCTTAGAAAGGCCTCTTTCTTTTTAATAAAACAGTTCTCGCAAAAGAAATACAGACCAGTCACCTCTTGAAAATGATTTCCTTTTAGTGTTAGGATATGAGAAGTTTCTGTGAGCAGAGCACAGCTGGATCTGAATCTTTCAGGCACTTCTCTTAAATGACATGACATTACCCTGACATGACTGTGCTGGTTGATACGGCAGGTCTAAATTTAAAACTCAACTGACCTGCCGCCTGCAAGAGCAAGTTCAGTAATTGCTACATGTAAGCATAACAAGACCACCATTTTGCACTGCCTTTCTGAAGAAGAAAAAACAGCCTTGCTGGTCACAAGATTATATTGTGTTCTTCTGACATGGTGAAATAGCATTTCATTCCACTTTATAAATGTATATTGCTAGAAAACAGGAAAAAATGTTTGACAAGGAACATGTTACCTTTAGAGTTTTTTTCCCAGGCATGTTGTAAAAGTGTGATCAAGTCTTGTTTCTGACTTAGTCTGGCGTAGTGGTAAGCATCATGGCCATAAAGGTCTACTGCAGAAACATCTGCCTTAGTCTTCAGGAGAATATCCACTGCTTCTTTACAAGAGCTCTCGCAAGCTAAGATTAGCGCAGTCCTAGCCAGAACACACACAAATACAGAACATAAAATAAGGGAACAAGTCAGAAAAAAACGGAACACAGAAACAAAGATTGATCAGTTGGTGTGGCAATAATAAGGTCTTTTACTTGCATGAGCTTTATCTAAATGACAGATCAAAACCAGTCCATGTTCTAAACAAGGGGTCACCACACTCGGTCCTGCAGAGTTTAGCTCCAATTTGCCTCAACACACCTGCTTTGAAGTTTCAAGTATACCACGCAAGACCTTGATCAGCTAGTTTAGGTGTGTTTGATTAGGATTGGAGCTAAACTCTGCAGGACACCGGCCCTCCAGGAACAAGTTTGGTGACCCCTGTTCTAAACTATATAATTACATTGTTTATTAAATAAATCTAATGCTGTTCCTAATGTTATCACATTGATCTAGAACCAACTGACTTTGCTTCTTTGCTTACACAAATGCTTGGATAATTTATAATTTATATGAAATGTATGTATGAAATCGATGTCCTGTTTCATAACAGAAGGTCATATTTTGATTTGAAACCCCATAACATTTTCCTGAGATGTTGATTTATGACAAACAATTTGAAAATTAGTCTGATTTAAATGATAATTACAAAATATTATTATATTTCCATAAGGGTGTTACATTTGATCACTAAATTAATGTCAGCCATTTTTAAAGACCAAGGAGAGGGAGTGGTCATGGTGAAACATCCAATCATTTGGTATCTCTGAAATGTGCTCTGTACAGGACATCCAGGCTTAAAACAGTGACATGTAACGTCTCAGAGAAATCACTAAAAAAGAATGTCCTCAACAGAGGACAAAACTCCATAGATGGTAGTCAGGATATTTACATTACATTTAGTCATTTAGCAGACGCTTTTATCCAAAGCGACTTACAAATGAGGACAATAGAAGCAATTAAAATCAACAAAAGAGCAATGATACGCAAATGCTATAACAAGTCCCAGTTAGCTTAACGTAGTACACATAAGCAAGGTTTTTTTTATTATATAATAAATAAAAAGAAAACAGATAGAATAGAAAAAGAATAGAGCAAGCTAGTGTTAGAGGCCTTTTATGCTTTTGTTAATTGTATAATAAATAAAAAGAAAACCGATAGTATACAAAAAGATTAGAAAAGCTAGTGTTCGTTTTTTTTAAGGATTTTTTTAAAGGGGTCATATGATGCGATTTCAATTTATCCTTTCTCTTTGAAGTGTTACAAGCTCTTGGTGCATAAAGAAGATCTGTAAAGTTGCAAAGACTAAAGTCTCAAATCCAAAGAGATATTCTTTATAAAAGTTAAGAGTTAACCACGCCTACCTAAAACGGCTCGTTCTAACATGCCCCCACATATCTACCTCACTATGTGGGAAGATTTGCATAACGCCACCCAAATGTTCACGCAAAGAAAGAAGGCGTAACTTTTATTCTCACTGTAGTATTGTTGCCGCTGCCGCCATGTCGTGAAGACGTTGTGTGCTTCGTTGTGAAAGCGAAATTACTTTATTTGGTCTTCCAAAAGAGGACAATATTCGATAATTACAACACTGTTCCAGAACAGTTTAACCCAAAAATCCAGATGTGTGCAGCACATTTTATGGTAGGGTGACCATACGTGCCATTTTCCCAGGACGCGTCCTGGCCAGGATTTCTATATTGCCTAAAATATCTAGGTTTTGGCTTTTTTTGCGTGTGCAGACCGATCGGTGTATGACATCAAAGTACCATACAGACGGTTATGCTTTCGAAACGCTCTCAAGGGCTCTGCTTTTAAGTCGAACACACCTAATATGTATGCGTAATTGCATCGCTTTGACCGTAGATCCCACCTTCTCACACGCCATGATTGGTCCATTATGTACAATGCTTGTATGTTATTGGTCAAACTACTTTTCGATCATTACCTTCAGCAAGCATGAAAACAGGAAAACAATACCAAAACAAATCCTGGCCAGGACGCGTCCTGGGAAAATGGCACGTATGGTCACCCTATTTTATGGAGGACTGTTTCAAGTTGACTACAATGCTGGCAGTTCTGACTCACAGTCTGTAAGTACGATTTAATTTAAAGGATTTGCCACTGATGATTCAAATGCGAGTTTTGAGCAGTGTAGAGTAGCACTTGTTGTTTGTCATTTCTCCGATCACAAATGCAGACAGTGTTTTATGTTTACGCGGCGAGATGCAACGCAATGTGTAAAAAGAAAGTATAAGTCATTATAATCCGTAATTATGTCCCCACTGGATGCAACAAATGCCTCGTTTGTAATGGGTTTTAATGTTTTTGTCTCGTCGCTCCGGCCGGACATGGCATCAACAGTATGGTGAGGGGCATAACATTTCCGTCACACGCTTGAGGTATTCGGCCAATCACAACGCATTGGATAGCTGGCCAATCACAGCACATCTCGCTTTTCAGACCGATGAGCTTTGTAAAAATCGACGCGTTTCAGAAAGGCGGGGCATAGAGGAGAAACAATAATGTACAATATGTGGAAAATAATGTGTTTTTTTAACTTTAAACCGCATAAATACATTTCATTACACCAAATAATGTTCTTTTTAGCAGCATCATATGACCCTTTTAAACGAATAGAGTCATTAAAGCCTAAAAGGGACAAGTTTTTTTATAATAGAATTAGAATAGAGAGTGCTAGAGTTAGATAGTCAAATAAAGATGGAAGAGATGTGCTTTTAGCTGATTTTTGAAGATTTTTGCTCAGACTGAGTTGGGCAGGTCATTCCACCAGGAGGGAACATTTAATTTGAAAGTCCGTGAAAGTGATTTTGTGCTTCTTTGGGATGGCACAATAAAGCAACGTTCACTTGCAGAAAGCAAGCTTTTAGAGGGCACATAAATCTGAAGCAATGAATTTAGATAAAGGGGTGCAGAGCTGTAACTAAATATAAATATGCATTTGCATTTAAAATGTGATCTACCTCTTCAGGTATTTTGGTTATTCAGATTAGATTTTTTTTATGCATCATTAATACAGAAGATAAAATCTGATCATTTTAAAATACTTGCTTGTTTTGCTTGTCTCGAAGAACAGAGCGTGCTCCATTTTGCACAAGCATCTGGCATGCTCCTGGTTGGCTCATCTTAGCAGCAAGCAATAAGGGCGATCTACCATCCTGAAAAAGGTACCAAAAGTCAATGCAACATACATTGCAACACCTTTTTGGTCTCAATTTCAAAATCAATTCTTCTATCTCCCTTTCTCACATAGCTTCTTATACTGTACACGGTGTGCGAAATTAATTGCTGTTTTTAAAACCTATTTTACCAGATGTGTGCAGCGCATTTTATGGAGGACTGTTTCCTGATCCTGGGAGAGTAGACTATAATGCCGGCTGTTCTGACTCACAGACTGTAAGTACGTTTTTTATATATAAAGGATTTGCCACTGACGATTCAAACGTGAGTTTTGAGCAGTGTAGAGTAGCACTTGTTGTTTGTCATTTCTCCGATCACAAATGCAGACAGTGTTTTATGTTTACGCGGCGAGATGCAACGCAATGTGTAAAAAGAAAGTATAAGTCATTATAATCCGTAATTATGTCCCCACTGGATGCAACAAATGCCTCGTTTGTAATGGGTTTTAATGTTTTTGTCTCGTCGCTCCGGCCGGACATGGGATCAACAGTATGGTGAGGGGCATAACATTTCCGTCACACGCTTGAGGTATTCGGCCAATCACAACGCATTGGATAGCTGGCCAATCACAGCACATCTCGCTTTTCAGACCGATGAGCTTTGTAAAAATCGACGCGTTTCAGAAAGGCGGGGCATAGAGGAGAAACAATAATGTACAATATGTGGAAAATAATGTGTTTTTTTAACTTTAAACCGCATAAATACATTTCATTACACCAAATAATGTTCTTTTTAGCAGCATCATATGACCCTTTTAAACGAATAGAGTCATTAAAGCCTAAAAGGGACAAGTTTTTTTATAATAGAATTAGAATAGAGAGTGCTAGAGTTAGATAGTCAAATAAAGATGGAAGAGATGTGCTTTTAGCTGATTTTTGAAGATTTTTGCTCAGACTGAGTTGGGCAGGTCATTCCACCAGGAGGGAACATTTAATTTGAAAGTCCGTGAAAGTGATTTTGTGCTTCTTTGGGATGGCACAATAAAGCAACGTTCACTTGCAGAAAGCAAGCTTTTAGAGGGCACATAAATCTGAAGCAATGAATTTAGATAAAGGGGTGCAGAGCTGTAACTAAATATAAATATGCATTTGCATTTAAAATGTGATCTACCTCTTCAGGTATTTTGGTTATTCAGATTAGATTTTTTTTATGCATCATTAATACAGAAGATAAAATCTGATCATTTTAAAATACTTGCTTGTTTTGCTTGTCTCGAAGAACAGAGCGTGCTCCATTTTGCACAAGCATCTGGCATGCTCCTGGTTGGCTCATCTTAGCAGCAAGCAATAAGGGCGATCTACCATCCTGAAAAAGGTACCAAAAGTCAATGCAACATACATTGCAACACCTTTTTGGTCTCAATTTCAAAATCAATTCTTCTATCTCCCTTTCTCACATAGCTTCTTATACTGTACACGGTGTGCGAAATTAATTGCTGTTTTTAAAACCTATTTTACTTACTGCATCGACAGCATCAATAGATGCACCGCTGTCACAGAGCATTTTGATGGCGGTTTTGCAGCCTACATATGCTGAAAAACAATAAGACACAAGACATTATAATTTTCCAATCAAACCTGACAGCTAGACACTATATCTGTCCTTGATGCATCACCATGCAGTAATTGAAGAATTTATAATGAAAGATCTGCGCAAAAGAATAACAACAATAAATCTGACACACACGCCCAAAATGCAAAGAAGGAAACTAAAAGAACAAATTGTCAAGAGCCTCATTTGTGGTATGTTCTGTAGGCTTGTCATCTGCAGATAAACACTTTTCATGTCAGTGAATTGAATTAAACACTTCTATAAGATGTTACATAGGGCCATGCTCATAAAGGTTTCTTGCTTTAGAATCCTGAAACATGTACATAAATGTTCTATAGAATTTCAAATCGATTTAATTATTTTATATTCTAACATACCAAAGATCTGCCGTCTAACATTACAGTGTGGTATTAAAATGTGTTGCTGTTGTGCAGTTGTTAGTGGAGCATGTTATATTAACTATACATAGTTTTGCCATCTTCTCAAACCAAACAGCAAATCTGCTGCCAAGAAACAATCATCTTTAAAGCTTTGTAACACATGCAAGTCTTTTCTAACTAGTGGATTTGATCTGAATTAAAGGGGTGGTTGATTGCGATTTCACTTTTTTAAAGTTAGTTAGTGTGTCATGTTGCTGTTTGAGCATAAAAAATATCTGCAAAGTTACGACGCTGAAAGTTCAGTGCAAACAGAGATATTGTCTTTTAAAATTCTGGCAGTTTAATGCCTACAAAAACGGCTCGTATGGACTACAACGATTTACTTCCCCGGTTCGTGATGTCATAAACCCCGCCCCCGAGAACATGCAACAAAGGGGGCGAGGCCATGTTGCACTGCTTTAGAGCAGGGGTTCCCAAAGTAGGGGTCGCAAGATGATTTCCAGAAATCAAAGTTTTTTTAAGGATTAGAAATAGCATATTTTACCCATAAATAAAAAATTATAAGTTTAATTAAAAATAAAACTCCAACGTGGAGTTTTGTACTCCAGCATGTTGCCCACCCAACTAATTAGGTAAGATTAATGTTGAAATGTAATGAGTAAATTACTATAAAATAATATTGTTGTTAGACTGTTGTGTTCCTTTGTGTTGTCATTATGCTATAAGTGCATGTGCGCTGTTGTGCAAAATGTTTGTATACTTTAACCACCTCAGAGGAAGGTGGGGGTCCCGAGGTACTGGCACTGTTATTTTGGGGGTCGTGGGCTGAAATGTTTGGGAACCCGGGTCGCAAGATGATTTCCAGAAATCAAAGTTTTTTTAAGGATTAGAAATAGCATATTTTACCCATAAATAAAAAATTATAAGTTTAATTAAAAATAAAACTCCAACGTGGAGTTTTGTACTCCAGCATGTTGCCCACCCAACTAATTAGGTAAGATTAATGTTGAAATGTAATGAGTAAATTACTATAAAATAATATTGTTGTTAGACTGTTGTGTTCCTTTGTGTTGTCATTATGCTATAAGTGCATGTGTGCTGTTGTGCAAAATGTTTGTATACTTTAACCACCTCAGAGGAAGGTGGGGGTCCTGAGGTACTGGCACTGTTATTTTGGGGGTCGTGGGCTGAAATGTTTGGGAACCCCTGTTTTAGAGAAGAGGAAGAGTTGTTGCCATGCTGTCAAAACTAGGGGTGCACGAAAACATCTATACATATATGAATCGCGATTCTGTCTTCTAGCGATTCTAATTGATTCATAAGTTTCAAAATCAATGTTCTAAAGCAGTGGCTCTTAATCCTGTCCCTTGCGCACCCCTGCTCTGCACACGCTCTGCATCTCTCTCTCTATCTCTCTCTCTCATCATCTCGTCAGCTCCAATAAACTGTTCCAAATTCCAATTATACACTTTATGTGTATAGACAGACAGATATTTTTCACATAGCTATGAGAAGCGTTATACATGGCGTGCGGTTGCTGTGCAGTATTAAAGCTTTAATCAGGATAAAACTGTATATTAAAAGCTAACACAAGCAGTAGCATTTACAAATAACAGCGTATCTAAATGTATGAGACAACAACAAACAAAAAACAAATCTGTCAGGCTTCAGGAGTGAGAGGACAGTTCAAGAGCAGGGTTTGTTATTGTTTTATATTTTCAGGATGTTTCATTTTGAGAAAGTTATTTGCATAATATGATGCTTTAACGATGCATTGTAGTCTGCAAAACAAATGCAAATGTGGTTTTATAAATTATGAAAACTTTAACATTTAAGTGGAATAATAATAAAATAAATAAAAGTTTATTATTTTAAAATATATATTTCTAAAATATTTTATTTTATTATGACCGCTTTAATGTCTAGATCTAATATAAATAAAACAAATGAAAAATAATAAAATATTTTATTTTATTTTATTATGACCGCTTTAATGTCTAGATCTAATATAAATAAAACAAATGAAAAATAATAAAATATTTTATTTTATTATGACCGCTTTAATGTCTAGATCTAATATTTTCCATTAAAATACAATTTTGTCACATCTTAAAAAGCAAAAAATCCACATACCTGCATCATGCAAAGCTGTTCGACCCTGCAGGTCTGTGCTGTCAACAGGACATTTACACTGTTGTAAAAGAAAGTAATTATTAACACATGCACCTGAGCAATATTATTACATTCTGAATCAATATAAAATGTGTTTTCAAATTTTAAAATGACTTATTTCACAGCTTAAGTTTGGCCACATATTTCTCTGCTCAGCAAGCTAAGAAACTGAGGAGAATGTAAATTGCATAAATGCCATATTAAAGCACATGCTCTCATCATGCATGCAAATATACATGCAATTTGATTAAGCTAGTATGGAATTTTCATACTGATGCTTAGGGTGCATTTTATTTTCCTTCTACTTCTTTTAATACTTTACATTGTTCAAATTGGTTTAAATTGTTATTATTTTTTTCTACTTTAATGCAATTCACTGCCCATTGAAACTCATTTGCATTAATTTCCTTCGTTTTCACTTGCATTTAATTATTGCTGTATTCACATCAAAGCCGTACGAAAAATAATTCATATTTTCATACCAGATAACACACCTCACATTCTTAACGGTGCGTTTGTGAGCAAAAGAACTGTTGCTATGATACAAAAATGAAAAGTAAATTGCTCCAGCCCTGCCATAAGCACTCAGCTTTATGTTGAGATCAAAAGCAAAAGAAAGTCCAGAGAAAGAAAAAAAAAACTAAACAAGGGCTTTAAACATAAAACACAAATCATAGAGGGTAGGGAAAGAAAAGAAAGCATTGAGCAGTCTTTGGCAGAGCAATCGCTAAAGGGGCTGGATAGATGTCAGCACTGAGACATTCCAATGTGGTTTCTCATTAGTCCTTCTTCCTGTGATTGTTATTGGAGGAACGCAATTGACGGTACCTGCAGTAGCTTTTGCACACACATGGAATGAGTGCCTGCTGCAGCCAGATGCAAAGCTGTTTTACCTGCAGAGAAGAACAACAATGACATTTACAAACAAACATACAGTTAGGTCCAAATGTCTGAAATGCACGTAATAAATACAATATTTTTCATAATTTGTTTGGTCCCTGTTGTTTGTTTGCTGTAATGGCAGCAGCAGCTGCATGAACTCTACAAGTTTGTCTAAAGCCTGATGATCATGTTCTCAGCACAATTTGAAAATGATCCAAAGAGCTTCTTGGGCTTCAATGGAAACAACAACGACTGGTCACTTGTATGAGTATCATCGATTTCACAAATTTGCTTATTTAATAGTTTGATTAGTGACCTACAAATAGTGCAGAATCTCATTCATTTTAAGCCATAACATTTCTTTGCGTTATATTTTTGAGTCTAAACCTTCTTGTTTATTTCCAAGTTTAAATTAGATTTTGAATCCCAATTTTTCAGTGTGGTCTCAGACATTTGACCACATAATGTCACACGTATACCTACTTAAAATATGCATTTTTATATAAATACTCAGAGACAGGAATTCTTACCGGCAGCATCAACAGCCTTCACACTGACACCGTTATCCAGGAAAACATTTAGACTATTTAAGAGGCCTTTGCTAGCAGCAACATGAAACCTTAAAAATAACATACAAGTAAATTTATAAAAAGATATAAGTATAATTACCATCAATAACATCAACAGTTTCAAGTTATAGAAGTTTATAGAATTTACTTTAAAGAAAATGTACTGTACTATTTTTATTTTATTTTATATAAAATAAATATTTTACAAAACAGGTTTTAATCCAAATTTGGCATAAAATGAAAGCCATATGTCTAAATAAGTTGTGTTCCAAATTTGAAGTTGATATAAAAAAAATTGAGGTTACTATGCAATTTTGTTTAGGTGTTATACCACAAACAGCCACCGGGTGCCCGCCAAACCCCATTGAATTTTTTTTATGCATTTTTCTGTCACAAATGTATACATTTCTCTCTCAGTATTACTCCTATCACAAAATAACCCCCAATTATGGAATCTTGAGACTCAGACCTTTCCGACGATATGTATTTTGTCAAGATTCTAAAAAGTTTTGATTCCAAGAGACCATCATACATTTTGTAATATGATACCCCGCACTAAGGGGGAGGAGCCCGTTAAAAGATTTTTATGGATATGGTAAGGCAATGTCCGATTTCAAAACGGTTTTCAAAGGATGAATTTTGGGGTTTTAAGCTTTCAAATTATATATAATATATGATGATTACTAAAATGTGATAGGAAAAAAACAAAACGAATAGAATCTTTGTGACAAAGGTCAGAGCTCCTGTTATGGTGTATATGTTTTGAGGTGCACTCTCGTCATAAATTAATCTATTACTGCTCCTACATAATTTTTTATAACAAACAGTGGTAAAATATCTATTTAGGAGTCTTAGACCTTTCCAACAATATATAGTATGTCATGATTAGATTAATATATAATATATGATGATTACTAAAACATGTGATAGGAAAAAAAGGAAACAAATAGAATTTTTGTCACAAAGGTCAGAGCTCCTGTTATGGTGTATATGTTTTGAGGTGCACTCTCGTCATAAATTAATCTATTACTGCTCCTACATAATTTTTTATAACAAACAGTGGTAAAATATCTATTTAGGAGTCTTAGACCTTTCCAACAATATATAGTATGTCATGATTAGATTAGGATTTAATTGTAATATATTGAAGTAACCCCACGCTAGCGGGACGGTGACAGTTAAGGAGTTCTAAATACAACATGAATAATGTATATCAGTGCATATATTCAGACAATTAATATTATCATACTTCTATGAAAATCGACAACATATAGGCGAGTTTACCAGTGATTTACCAATTATATGAGGATGTATTAAGAGCCAAGAAACATGAAAAGAAACATGCAATAACATGGCAGCCTAGGCCTGTTTCAACAGAAAATAGACACAGCCACTCCTTGAGCCTAGTTACAAAGCAGGCATGAGACATCAGTGTTTGAAAAGTGAAATAGAGGACAAAAGAAGGACCAGCAAGACGTAGGAATGGGTATAAACACACTGTGTAGCATAAAATTTAATCTTAAAGGAATGAAAATCAAATGCACAGGAACTAAAATAAAAAATATGAAACTTTCCTTATTCCATCATATTTACTGGCAAGGTCAAGGCAAGAAAATACATATATTCTATTTGACAGAAAAACGTTAGCAGGTACAAAATATTTTAACAAAAACAGGACATGACTGAAATCCTGTCATAGGCCTGACACACCTAATGCATAACAACCCCCTTTAAAAACAGCTGACCTGAAGAGATAAAAGAAGAAAAACAGGAAAATTACAGGCTGCATGTAACACTGCACACCATGTTTAATACTCTTCCATAAACATATTATCACTGGAGCACCGCTGTGCTACACATTTATGATTTAGTTAAACGCCTATGTATTTACTGTATGATGATTTGTTTACTCTGCGGAACAACTTCTCTGCTTTCCATGTTTCTTTTTTCACTAGTTAGGAACCTCTTTTACACCTTAGATGGCTCCATTGTAAACGGGATATCATGCTGTGATGGGATGGGCAACTGTCTAGTCAGGTATGAAAAATTAAGCACTTGTTAAAACCTTGTAATTGCCTTTTTCTTTCATTTTGAAAAAAAAAAGAGAGAGAGAGAATATCTAAACCAAATGACAGAATCAGCAAACGTTAATATTGGAAACTGTTTTCTAAGCTAGCATGAAACTTTTTTTTTCTAATTATTATTATATTCGATCTATGAAGCAAGCAGAGAGGATGGAACTGGAAACAATCTTGCTATGACTGTTTAGTTGTTACAAAATAAGATAATGAGATTAAAGTCATATTATTTTGAGAATATCAATATTATGAGAATAATCTCGTAGCAATTCAAGAATAAGGTCGTAATATTTTCAGAATGAAGTCAAATTTCCAATTATAGGATTTTGAGATTTAAAGTTGCAATATTTTGAGAATAAATTCAAAACTACCAGAACAAAGTTGTAGCAACATGAGAATCAAATCTTTGCATGCAATATGAGATTAAATTTATAATATTCTGAGAATAAAGTCATAATTTTGAACATGAAAAATGCAAGCTGCAAAGCAAAATCATTCACACGAAACACTGAAATTTATGGTGCCCGGGAGCTGACATGTTCGGTTCACTTAGTTTGGTTCATATGCAGAAAACGACATATTTTGACGTTATTTTAAAAAAAATGTAAACTTCCTATTTTTTAGCTTTTATCCCGTACTAGTATTTATCACCACAAGTGTGTGACAGGCCCATGGAGGAAAGATCTCATTACAGATTGTGGAAGCAGTGCCATAGCTTTGTCAATTATACAATAAAGGAAAACAGAAGTCTGTACAAAGCAAACAGGGCATTCTAAATATCTTGTCCTTAAAGGGTTAGTTCACCCAAAAATGAAAATTAGCCCATAAATTACTCACCCTCAAGTCATCCTAGGTGTATGACTTTTTTCTTTCAGACGAATCCAGTCGGAGTTATATTAAATTGTCTTTGATCTTTCAAGCTGTTTAATGCCACTCAGCGGGTGTTGCATGCATCAGTCCAAAAGAAGTTAAATAAAAATTGCCTATCCATAAAAAAAGTGCCTCACACGGCTCCGGGGGCCTCCTGTAGCGAATCGATGCGTTTTTGTAAGAAAAATATCCATTTTCAAAACGTAATAATCACTTTAATGTAGCTTGTGCCAACAGTTGTACACGGACGAGCAGATGACGAATGAGGTCGGCTTTGCACATGCGCGGCTCAGAAGTGACGCACTCGGAAGCACAGGGGAGAGATCAAAACAACGGTCACTTATTAGAAGTACAAAACGAGGATTTGTAAAGAAGAATGTCGGAGGATTCATACCGGCGCATGCGCAACGCTGAACTCATATATCATCCGCCCGGAGCTGCTTCTGTGTAGGACTGTTGGCACAAGCTAGATTAAAGTGATTATTACGTTTTGAATATGGATACTTTTCTTACAAAAACGCATCGATTTGCTACAGGAGGCCTTTGTTCACCCCCCGGAGCCGTGTGCTTTTTATTTCACTTCTTTTGGACTGATGCATGCAACACCCGCTGAGTGGCATTAAGCAGCTTGAAAGATCAAAGACCATTTTTGATATAACTCAGACTGGATTCATCTGAAAGAAGAAAGTCATATACACCTAGGATGACTTGAGGGTGAGAAATGTATAGGCTAATTTTAATTTTTCGGTGAACTAACCCTTTAAGGGTAAAATATGAGAGTAAACCAATGCAGAGGTGGGATTTAAATAGCATTAAAGGTGAAATTGCTTCAGAATTTGTTTAGCAGTAAAGACTTAGGTTAGTGTACATGTGCCACTCATGATCCAGGCAATTCTAATGCAAAAGAAGAAAAACACTACAAAACTTGAGTGCTACAGACGCCCTACTTTTCATTCAGAAGCAGCTACTGGAAATAAATTCAACAACAAATAAGGCATTGTGTATTGCAGTGGAGGAGCAGCGAACAAAAAATAGGGCTATCAAAATCCCTTCCCTCGTTCCCTGGCTGGACATTTGCACGTTTATTAAAAAGCTATCTTTTGTGGCAAGAGACGAGTGATGAAATGCATTTAGAAGAAGTAAGCACAGGAGTCCCAGCAGAGAGGAAAGAGATATGTTTTTGAGATTCACGTCAAATCAAAGATCGCAAGACCACTTGATCCCAGAGCCCTTCACAGAGGGGTTCGATTCCACTTCAAAACCTAGTGCGGGAATGAGCTCAGTAGTGCACAGACCCATAGAGGATGCTGAATGACTTTAAAATGAGCTGTCTTTGCAAAAATGTTATTACGTCAGTCAGTTTTGCTCCATACCAGTAGAAAATATAGATTATATTTACGTGGGGAATTATTCTCAGTAAAGAGCACTAAATACTGCTCTCTGTACAGTAGACAGTATTTTTTAGCATCACGTAAGAGATGGTCATTTGAGAGTGACACTTACGCAGAATGGCCCTCTGGGTCTAGTTTGGTGGGGCTGGTTCCTTTCTTGAGTGTGGCTGTGAGTTTCTCTATATCTCCATTCTCTGTTGCCTTCATCAGACGCTCATCATACTTTCCCCATTCTGTGCTCTGAGACAATGGCAAATATAAAAAATATTCAATATTTCACAACCTATTCTACTGCAGCTCTACAGAGCCATCACTGGAAGTGTAATCAGTTTTGTCATTATATGTTTGGCTCTGCTAATAAACACTTCCTTTGTTTTAATTTAACACACAAAAAAAAACTAAAACTGTTTGTTTAAGAGAAACAAATCGCCAGTTTTAATTTAAACCCTTTTTTAAAAATTCCACAATATGATATATTTCCTCCTAAAATAACAGAATGTTGCTATGCTTAATTTAAAAGTGAGCATTGCTACTATATTGTGTGCAATATAGCAAGCTGGAAAGCTGGAAAGCTGTATTGACCAATCAGCATTCAGGACTATAGAACTATTGTGTAGTTTACAGCTCTGGTTTACGCCAAGGTGATGCTGAATTCTTGATTTTGATTGGCTGTCAGACGTTCTAATCTGTCTATTATTTTCAATAACCACACTATGAAGTAGTTCCAGGTCTGCTGACCGCATTACAATTCCATATGATATGGCCAAATTATTACTTAACAAAATTGTTATTCAAAGAGCCTTAGTCTACCACATCCTAAAGAAATATGATACAATTTTAAACAATATTTGTGAAATGGCTCTACAGTTGAATTCCATTGCAACAACACAGCACACACATCTCTGATTGTCTCACTCACTCATGCGCAAAATGTTTTACTAGAAGCAGCGATAAAATCAACTACTGAGCTTTTGCGTAATTTCTGAAGATATGATAAACGCGTCCGGAGAGTAGTAGAGTCCTTATCGCTTTTAGACGTAAACATAACAATTCGTTCCTGGTGTTCAGCAAAATAATATGCAACTTACAGTACATGCGCGTACTGACCACCCACAGTCGCATTATTACACACGCTCAGATTGAGGACATATTATGGGCTTGGTCCAAAGTCTTGACAAGCTTTTCGAAACAGTAAAACTTGTATAATGTTTACCTCGTTTTTCTTAAGCCGTTGTTTTAAACTTTTCATAGTTCCAGTGTAACAGTAACTAAGTCCAGTGCACTTGTCCAGATCCCCAAATTTGCGTCTCTTGTCAAAGTTTGCCTGCAAACTTCATTCCACCCCTCGGTTACAAGGTTCAGGCTCTATTGAGACCTGACGCACTCCCATGAACCAATAGTCAGGAAAACTGTGTAACTATGAGCCAATCGGCGTGCACTGGGTGTCTCCGTATGAAGGACATACCGTAGAAAAGCTGATTCACATGATTTGTGGGCTAGATTCCACAGACTCGATAAATGCCTTCAAAACCAGCTCGACAATGAGTGTTTGTTTTGGATACAGCTTCGAGTAATACTGTCAGCAAGCTAGTCCTGTTTGCAAACTTGTCAACACAGTTGCGTCATCAGTGGTTGGTTGGAAGTATGCTTATTTTTTAATTCATCATATGATATAAATAAACATGTATTTATGATATTGCACTTTTTGTGGAAACACCTAGATATATGTGCTACCACGGACCTGTTGTCTATACTTACCAGGTTTTAAAAACATTGCGCTAACAAAATAAAGGCCAGTCATTTTCAGGTTCCAGAGTTATTAATGAAAGTATAAATGATCCATTATAGCGCCACCTAGTGTCTGTAAAAAGTGTGTGTGTGTACTGGTTTATATATCCTGGTGGGGACTTAAACCTGACTACACACAGACTCATGGGGACTCGTGTCATGGTAGGGACCTAAATTGTGGTCCCAAAGGGTACAAAAGCTTATAAATCATACAGAATTAAGTTTTTTGAAAATCTAAAAATGCAGAAAGTTTCCTGTGAGAGGTAGGGCAATAGAATATACGGTCTGTACAGTAGAAAAACCATTACGCCTATGGAGAGCCCCCACAAGGATAGCTGACCAGACTGTGCGTGTGTGCCCAAACAGAAGAAAGATAAGAAACACAAATTGGTGCTTGCACTTCTAATTATGACCCAAGCTTTTTGCAGCTTCTTTACGGAAGAGCCACTTGTGTATGTTATGAATCACATCCTGCGAATCCCATTCTCTTTGTGGTATCATGTAACAGCCCTCTAAACATATTAAAAGGAGATTCATTTCTTTGTTGAAGGACAGAATGACTGAACAATAATACTGATGCTGCTTCTACGTCCAATACATTAAACGCCAGGGTTATGTTCTTTGTGGTAAAGTGTAATTTTATGATGTTTGAGTGGCTCCAGCTCAAGTCTGGGAACTCGCCAAATATAGTAGACAAACCGGTTTCAAAGATGAGCCTCTTGAAAGACCTCATTCATTCCACCCTTTAAATATGTTCTATGTAACAGCAGCTGCCCAAATAGAGCGTATCCATTGCCTTTGCCATTGTTTTTCTCAAAAAGCAGTTCTACAAGTGTTTTAATGGTCACTGCAGTATGTTAGGTGAAGCTGAGCTACACTCAAGCTAGCCAGTGCTGCTGGGTGGTTTCTGAACATTTGCAGTCTGCTGAAAAATTATATTCATCAGTACAGTAACATGCTCTTTTAATTTCATAATATGTTTAAGACAACATACTCAAAAGTTATCAGTGCAAACCTCCCAAATGTATATTAGATTGAAACAAGCAAAGAATTAAAAACAGGCTTGGACTCTTCAAAAGACTAAATTTTCAAATGTGATGGCATCTGCTGCACACCATTGAATTGCTATTGCTACGTAACCTTTACTTTTAACATCAAGATATGAGCCATCGTTAAAGCTATTAAACTTTTTATGCAAATTGGCAAGTCATGTAGTTGAAAAAAAATCCAGCAGAGTCACAGCTGAGAAAAACAATTTATTGACTGACATGTTTGAAGAAAAAAAAAAAAAGGGTAAAAAAAAAACGAACAAATGATGCAGCATTTCAACTATACATGACCAGGTTCTGTTTATCAATAATACATAAACTAAAAAAAAAAATGGATCAATAAAATTAGAGCAATTACCAGCAGCTTTCTGAAGAGATTGAATCCTTATCTGGAATACCAGACATCATCCTTAAAGTACTGAATCAATATTGACTGATGTTGTGGGCACTAAGATCTTCCACAAGACTGATGAATGGATTAAAAAAAAACTTAAATAAAATGAGGATCAGAACGTAGCACGTAACATCCTCACTAGCTTTGCCCTCAGACAGCTTTGCGATGATATTCCGGAGGTGCAACTTCATAGTCGCTTGCACTGAACAACGACGATGAATTCTTCACCAAATACCTAAATTGAGCATAGAAGTCCGTTACTTTCTGCAAGTGATGTATAAAGTTCCATTTTTAAATAAATTTATCTTAAATAGTTTTCATAATCTGCATCGCTTTGGCTTGACATTAGGCCAGCTTCATTGAAAACTAGTATATAAGATCATCATAAAATGTCTTATTACCAACCTGACAGCCTCAGAAGGTTGCTCAAATTCTCAAAACAAATTCAAAATATTAAAACAGATTTCCGCTTACTTTAAAAAATCTTGTAGGTAGCTGAGAAGCAGGGCCAGACTCTTCTCATCCAGAGGTGTGTAGGCCAGCATTGCTCCAATTCTCACTGTCAGAGGACACAAAAGAGGCTATAAACCACCAAATTACTAATAATGTCAATTAAAACATTCTCTGAGATACAGACACTGATTAAAGCCCCCCAGAACTCATTCACGATATTCTCATGATTACATTAAGCTTTGAGGATGTGATTATGGGCATGGATTATTATGCATCCTCCTATAACAATTTTGTAGCATTCAAAGCTCACATTTAACTTTTTTTTTTCTTTTTCTAAAATATCTGAAATTGACTGGTTGTTCTGATTGTGAAGGTACAATTAAGTTTAAAAATATAATTAGCATTTAAGTTCATACCAAAAAGCCTCAGCAGGTGTGGCGCACCGTAGATCTTCGACATGGATGTATCTGGATGGTTTGCTAGGATCTCTGCATACTGCGGCCTCTCAAACTTGTAGAGGAGCTGCGTGCCCAACATGACATTGAAGTACTCGCGGATTCCAGCAACGACCTCATTCACAGCAAATTCCCTGAGAAAAGATCAAGTATCTCTTTAGAAACTCTCTACATCTTATTTGTGAATTTCTACAACAGGGATGATTTACAAAAATGAATCATTTGTACAAAGGTGATTTCAACTAACTGGATAAGAAAACAATTTTTTACATATGGCATACAAACATACTTGTTATCAGAGTTTCCTCTTGATTTCTTGTAAGTTGCATAGTCCTCAAGGACATCATCTACATTCTTTTTTGCAGGCAAGTGAAAAAGCTAAACAAAAAAAAAAGAAATAAAACCACAAATATTTTCACAATGCACATTAAGGCATGTTCACACCGTGTCAGAATTAGCATAATTACAAGATTCCGCCTAAATAGTTAATGTCTTCATAGAACTCATAATTACAACTTTTAAACTACTTTCAACTACTGTTGAAACTTCCATCAATGTAGTTCAGTAGTTACCTTTGTAATATTTCTGTTCACTAATGCACAAAACTAATGACTAATGTTAATGTCTGAATAATGCAGTAATCTAAAAAAAATAAACAATAGACCAAAATGTGACTAGCACATAGTTAAATACATCTAATGTCCTACTAAATAAACTGTTTCTTAATAACCCATTTGCATAACAAATGCTTCCCTGCTGGATAGTAGTTTTGTCTACTGATTGCTCAAGTTACAAATTCATTTTATTTTAAAGATTTATTTTTGCATTTCTTGCCTTTATTATATATACAGTGGAGAGCATACAGAAAGCGAAATGGGACAGAATCAGGAAAGCAGGCCAGGCTCAGAAAACAGCTCAGAGTAGAACGTCACAGATTGTCATCTAGCAATTACACTAATTACACCATAGTGTGAACTAGGGCTGCACGATAAATCGAATGCGATTGTCATGAGTATCTTTCAGTGAAGCATGGTTCTGTGATCAGCAGTAAATCTCCATCCAAAGGCCAGAGGGCACTCTCGCGCTGAAACTCCAAATACGCCTCGCAGAAGAAACCCAGGAAATGCCTATAGCGGTAGCTGGATAAACAGAAGATTTAACTGCTTTTATTGATTCAACGTGACTAATAAACACACGATTATGACAATATATCGTTTATCCGAGTTATTATTATAATAATTTTCATTAAAATAAAGTATATTTATAATGCAACGCCTTTATCACTGCTTAGAATACTATGAAATATGTTGCATGCATAATTCTGTATAAGAAGCCACATCATCTCACAGAAGGATTTATTTCAAACACTCGACTGACGTTATGAAGTGAGTTTTGAGTAAAAATATGTTATTAAATGTGGTATATTAGGGTTAGGACTAGGGTTAGGACCTAACCATAGTTCACTGAGAAGCTATGCAAACTGCTGTCATTATCACGAATTATTTCTTCGATTTTATAATCGCGCAATAAAATCGTCTGCGACTTTTTTGCATAACTTGTCAGTGAACTACGGCTATGTGTAGTAAATGCTGCTCCATCTGAAAGCACGTGATGATTTACTGCTGATTACAGAACCGGCTTTGCTAACAAAATGCGCATGACAATCGCATTCGATTAATTGTGCAGCCCTAGTGTGAACAAAGCATAGTAATTCAAAACTCAAAATGTAATTGTACGACCAATTTACGCAGATATCCAGGAAACTTTCTGCAAATGTGCAATTGGAAAAATTGTTCATCATATAATTATGTCCAGTTGCTGCTTTAGACAGCATTCTGTAGTTTATGCTGCAATAAAGTTGAATGAAGCATGTGAGGATGTTTGTTGTTACCTGCTTCTGTCTAGTGATCAGGTCCCAGTCATCTACCAACCACGGTTTTAACTCTTCGGGAATTTTTACCTTCACTTCTACTCTGTTAATGAAAGTCTCCTCCTGCATTCAAAACCAGTTTGGGAGTCAAAACCAGCCTCACTTTTAACTTCTGTTAAAACACCAACTCAAAGAGACTGAATAATTAAAACAGGCTTTGAACTGACATACACTCTCCACAGTTGGGTCAACACGTGCCCTCTTCTTGCGTGGGGGGTGAGGCATGTCCCCAGTGCTAGTGCCCTCTCCAGCCCCTGGTGCTGAGAAGCAAACAAGACAAGCGATTGTTATCAGTTAATAATCATCAATAAC